AGAGAGAGAAGAGAGAGAAGAGAGAGAAGAGAGAGAAGAGAGAGAAGAGAGAGAAGAGAGAGAAGAGAGAGAAGAGAGAGAAAGAGAAGAGAGGAGAGGAGAGAGAACAGTTAAAGTGGTAACGCCCACACTTGGCTCCACGGTATAACTCTTGAAAAACATGGAATTCATTACCGGAGTCATGGGCCTCACCAGCTGAGACACTTATTGATCTGATCTGCTTTCGAGGGTGATCTAGGCTTCTCAAGTTTTCAAAGCTTCCGGATGAGTGTAGCATACAGTCAACATTGAGAGCACTGTTCTATGGGGTTTACTCAGGCGAATCCTGACTTCTGGAGTTTTTTGTTCATTCTCTAGCCTCAAGTTACAGGAGTCCAGATGGACTGTCTAGCAGGCAGAGTCTTCTCTTCGTCTCTATGGTTCCCCCCCGCCCCCCCCTTATTCTCACAATAGCCATTTGCCCTCCTCCCATCGCATTGCAAAATGACAGGAGACGAATATTGAAATCCGTGCCAGGGAGCCAGGGCTGAAGCTCGGTGGCAGAGCCATTGTCCAGCATGTAGGAGACCCTAGGTTGGATCTCCAGTGCTAACAGAAGGGGGAAAGGGGAACCCTTAGAGAAGGGGAAAGTGGGAAACCTTTAAATGAGAGCCAGTAAGATTTACTACAAATGAAGGAAAAAAGATCATTTGTACGAGAGAGAGAGAGAGAGAGAGAGAGAGAGAGAGATCTTTATTCTTTGCTAAAAAAAAAAAAAAGCAAACAAAACAATGATATGTTTGAAGGGCAAACATGCCTTTGCTGTGACAGAGAGTTTACCCATAACAAAGCCAAAGGATTTGAGTGACACTCCCTTGCTGACTTCATCTGTGGGCACTGTCGGCTTCCAAATGTTGTCATTGCAAGTGATGTGTGCATTCATCTTTTATTAATCACTTCGACAGCCAAGCAAATGCCAACATTTCACCAAGGAGACAGCAAAATTTAAAAACATGAAATATAATTATAATTGATATAATGTCCTATATGAGGCCCTGATTTTATCAGCAGAAGATTAAGCCTGAATAATCACTGGGAACCTGATAGGCAATTTTCTATTGTCATTGACCTGGCCTGGATTATGAAGGAGCAAGAAGGACCTCTGCCTCTGCCTCTGCCTCTGCCTCTGCCTCTGCCTCTGCCTCTGCCTCTGCCTCTGCCTCTGCCTCTGCCTCTGCCTCTG